TATTATTTTATTTTTTATGTATTTGGTACAGGGTCTTCAGGGTCTTACTATGTAGATTGGACTCATAGTGATTCTCTTGTTTGCAGCCTTCCAAGTGCTGGGATTACAGGCACATGCCACCATGCCTAGTCTCAATCACCCTCTTAGCATGCCCAATGGGCAAGGCTGGCACTGCAACAAAATAGATATTTTAGACTGTAAGCAAGTCAAGTTCAATAAAAAAATTGAAATAATTTCTCGTATCTTATCAGACCATAATGGAATAAAGCTAGAAATCAGGAAGAAAAACTATGTAAGCACATAGAAATTGAACAGTTTACTTTTGAACAATCATTGAGTCATTCAATAAATCAAGGAGGAAATCAAATCAAAATGGAAATATAGATAGAAGGGCATTGAGGCTGTGTATCATCCATTATTATGTGTAATCAGTAAATGATTTAATTCTCTTAAAAAAAAAGAAAATGGAAATATACTAGAATCTTTGGGATACAGTGAAGGTAGTTTTAAGAGGGAACTTTGTAGCTTCGAGTGCTATTGAAAATATCACAGAGGGAGTCTGGGCATGGTGGTACATTTGTGTAATCCCAGTAACTTAGTGGTTTATCTCTGGGTCTTAGAAAAACCAAAGCAAACCCAATAGAAGGAAAGAAATAATACAAATCAAGGTGAAATTAATGAAATAGATACTACAAGAAAAATACAAAAGATCAATAAAACAATTGATTCTTTGAAAAGATAAGCAGAGTTGGTAAGTCCTTAGCCAAACTAACCAACAGAAAAAGAGATAACCAAATCAATGAAATTAGAGTACAACAGACACCTCTACATCTAGAGGATCATTAGGGACCATTTTAAAGACAGATAGTCCAGTAAATTGGAGCATTGAAAAGAAATGGATGAACTTTTAGACACCTGTGAACCAACAAGATATAAAAATCCTGGGGCTGGGGAGGGAGATAGCTCAGCAGCCTAAGCACCTGCATGGCAAATGCAAGGCCCCGAGTTTGATCGCTGGTATCGCATGCCGTACTGCCCCAGAACTGGGTTTGGTGATGCATGCTTGTAACCCTGCACTGGGAAGGCTGAGACAGGAGGACCACTATGAGTCCAAACTGTAGTAAGACCCTGTATCAGTAAAAAATAAGAAAAATTTTTAAAATCCTCATCAGATCAGTGAAAAGCTGTGAGATTCAAGCAATAATAAAAAGACTCCTAGCAAATAACAGGACTGGGGGACAGGGAGATAGCTTAGAAGAATAAGTGCTTGCCTGGCAAGTGCAAGGGCCTGAGTTCAATCCCCGGTTCCGAAAAAAAAAAAAAAAAAACCACCCAAAAACAAATAACGGGGCCGGGGAGATGGCTCAGTAGGATAAGCGCTTGACTGTCAAACACAAGGATCTGAGTTCAATCCCCGGTTCCGAAAAACAAAACAAAACAAAACAAAAAACAACAAATAACAGGATTGTATGTGTTTACTGCTGAATTTTACCAGACATTTAAAGAACTAACACTAATGTTTCTCAAACTATTCCATGATTAAAAAGGGAAGGAATGCTTTCCAAACTCACTCAGTGAGTCTAGTATCACCCTGATACCAAAACCAGGTAAGGACATAATAAAAAAGGAATATTAAAGACCAACATCTTTGATGAATGTACATGTAAAAATCCATGCAAAATACTTGCAGACTGAATTCAGTAATGCATTAAAAAGATCATATGCATGATTAAGTTGTTTTCATTCCAGTATGGTTCAGCATATATTAGATATAATGCACCACATAAATAGAATAAATATAAAAATGACATTTCAGTCGATAGAGACCTTTAACAAAATTTAATATTCATGGTAAAAGTCCTAAGAAACTGTACAGAAGCATTATACCTCAACACAATCAAGACTATACATAATTAAGTCTATAGCCAAAATCATACTGAATGGGAAAAACCAAAAACATTTCCTCTACAATCAGGAATGAGACAAGAGTATCCATTTTTACCACTCCTATTCAATAAAGTACTTGAAATTTTAGAGCAATTAGGCAGAAGAAATAAAAGGATTCATAAAAGAAAGGAAGAATTTAAATTATCTTTGGGTTTGCATTTAAAAGGGCGCAAGATTTAAATGATCTGATATAGATAGATGTTTTAAGAAATATCCTTTTACATGTTTTTGTAACAATGATCTTGAGATAGTAAGGGTTGTAATTCAGGGCCAGGGAGATAGCTCAGTAGAATAAGCGCTTGCCTGGTAAGCAAGGTCCTGAGTTCAATCCCTGGTTCTGCCAAAAAAAAAAAAAAGATACTTAATATCATTGAATCTAATTCTAGGGCCAGAGAGATAGCTCAGTAGAATAAGTGCAAGGGCCTGAGTTCAATCCCCTGTTCTGCCAAAAAACAAAAAAAAAAAAACAAAAAACACCGAAAGGGTTGTAATTCAGTATGTAAACAATATACAGAAAGTGTTAACATGTGAAATGGTATTAATACACTAAGACTTTGATTTAAAAAATTTCTTTTTCTTATGGGAAAAGACGCTAAAAATGGAATGTAAATTATTTTTTTTGTTGTTTCGTAACTTCCTTCTGCCGACTGCACCCTAAATTTTACAGTGCTTAGCTCAATACTATGCACAGTCTAGTGATAATTCTTCTTTTGAATTTCGATATTTTTGATCAGTCCTTTTGTTTGACACTTATGATATTTAATTGTTAGCTATCTTCTCTATATACATTTTATTTACTCTGTATTTTAAGGCAAGGATATATTTCTTTGTGTCTTATTAATATTTACCACACAGTAGTAAATATTGATCACTTTACTTCTCATTTGTGATTCTTACTAAAAATATGTATAAAATGTGTATACTTTACCTTGGTGTAATATTTTTATTTGATTATTGAGGATTGCTTCACTTTAAGTTTATTATTCATAATACAAATTTCCAATTTTAGATCTGTAGGTAAGAATGTAGACAGCTTAAGGTAGTAGGACATACTCTCCATTCCTATTCTTCATGAAGAACTAAAACTAGTTAATATTCCTGAAGTACAAATGGTAACATACTTATGAATTTGGGTGGAGATGGAACGGTATTGCCAGGCTGAAAGCTTATGGAAATACCTTAAATGACACTCTGGGATGAGATAAATGGTAATACTAAAGACAACATAAAGTGGTCAACTCCCATGTCTTACCTACATTTCACTTTTGTTTTATTCTTGTGTGGATATTTGTTTTAGAAATGCCTAGAATATGTTGGACCCTGTTAAAGTAAGAAACATACTGAGTAATGGGGTTTTGTATGTAAATTGAAGTATCAATTTATTTGAGCTTTTTGTAAGAGTCTAAAGAATTGACATGAAAACTTACATATGCTGTTTTACATTTGATTTTGGGGGCATTATTATGCTAAATCCTTAGATCTCTTTTTTGTGATTTATTTGGTGCTGAAAACATTCTAGTTTTAATTTCTGATTAAGTTGGTGCTAGTTAAACCATATTAATACTTGTAGTATTCTTTGGTTATCTTCAAATTATAAAAAATGTATTCCTTGTAAAAAAGTGTCCTTGTTTTGCTACATGCCAATAAGACAGTATAGTCTATATCAATCTCTAAAACCTTTAACAAAAAAAAATCTCTTCAAATACATACCATTATTATCAGTTTTTCTTTGTAAAGAATTCTGTTAAACCTGATTTTTTTTTTAAAAAAGCTGATCTACTTGTGTATTACTGAATTAACTAGTTCAAATCGTCCAGAGAAGAATGTTGTTTTTTATTTTTATTTTTTTATGCTCACAAATTAACTTTCAGTATTTATTTAGTCATCTGTAATATGAAGCAGAAGGGACCTAGTTCTGAAAGCAGAGATTTCTCCAAGCAGTTGTCATAAGCTGAAAGTTAGAGCTAGGGTCAGTAATATGGCTAGCACATTAAATGTTGTTTTTTTAAAAAAACCTTTCATTTATCTACATTTGGTACAAGGTCTTGCTTCTCAGTTTGGACTCATAGTGATCCTCCTGTCTCAGTCTCCCCAGCGCTGGGATTATAGGCATGCACCACTATACCTGGTTTTGGGGCCTGCACAGCACATCTGGGGCTCTGGGGCCAGCACTGCATGCTGTACTGGGGATTGAACCCGGGTCCTTGCCCTTGCCACGCAGGCGCTTAGATCACCGAGCTATCTCCCCAGCCTAGAAAATATTGTTATGGAAGGTGTTTTTCTCTAATTGTTATGATGGTGTTGCATTTTGATGTAATTGAGGAACAAACTAAATAAAAAACCATTAATTTTATGTGTTTACAATATATTTCCATAGATTTTGATTGATCACATAGATATTGATCACAAAGATCATCAGATTGAGCTTCAAAGTTCAATAATTTCATCAATTCTTTTTCTTTTTTTGTATTTTGTGCAGGGTCTCACTACGCAGCTTGAACTCGTAGTGATCATCCTGTTTTCAGCCTCCCCAGCGCTGTGATTACAGGTGCACTCCACCACGCCCAGACTTGTTCGCCGGCTCATCGTGCAAGGGGGCAGGGCTGGCTCTTTTTCTTTTTTCTTTGTACAGAGGATTGAACTCAGGACCTTGTGTTTGCCAGGCAGGTGCTTAAGCTTCTGAGCTATCTCCTGGGGCCCATGAATTATTTTCATAACTTGAAAAAAGTCTTTATAAGTGATTTTATCAGAAATATGCTGTCTCTTGATAGTTGCTAATGATTCTCTTTTGGTTATATTTAGATTAATTTAAAGTTTGGCATCAGAAAACCAGAGGCACGGACAGGAACTGAGACCGATACCTGTACAGCTTGTGCAGGTACCTTGATCCTTGAGTTTGCTGCTTTAAGTCGATTCACTGGAGCAACAATATTTGAGGTTTGCTTTTCATGGCCTTTGATCTTCTGGGTATTGGGCATAGCTAACTTTATGTTACATTGGTTAGGCATAACGATTATCAGTTAGTGGATTATTGTATTTAATTAACTCTTTTTTTTTTTTTTTTGGCGGAACCAGGGATTGAACTCAGACCCTTGTGCTTGCCAGGGAAGCACTTGTTCTACTGAGCTATCTCCCTGGCCTTGTATTTAATGAACTCTGTATCTAAATTCTATAATACAGTTTTTGATTGTCAAAAACATAAGTCATTGTGACCCAGCCATGTTAATACAATTTTGCAGTAGTTCACAACCTGTGAATTAAAATTTTAGTTTCATTCTTAGAAGATTGTTTGTATCATATTAACCTAGCAGCTCCTTGGTACCATCAATGTCTAAAAGAAATACATTTTTTTTTATTTATTGGACTTACAAATGTTCGACTGTACTCACTAAGCTAAGACAATGTAATTTTTGCATTTAAGTCTTGATTAAAAATCTAATCTGTAAATTTGTTTACTCCAGTTGAAATGTCATTCATTTTCCAAAAATCTTGCTATCCCCCAAATAGTAGTTTTTTTGGAGGTGGAGTGGGCTCAGCCCACCCTGAGTATGGGGCTGGCGTAGCATATGGTTCCAGGGATTGAACCATGGTCCCCTGTGCTTGCCTGAGTTTGCCTAAGCAGGTGCTTTCGATTGCTGAGCTATCTCACCCCCCCAACACACATAGTTTTTATGGTGTGGCTATTTCTTACATTTGGGGAAAAACAATCTAAGCATGCATTAGAGTGCAGTAATTATGTAAATAGCCTCTTTCAAATATATGGCTTGGGTGAACTGTAAACATTTTAACAAATGATACATATAAACAGAATAGAAATAAGGCATATATATCAACATTTCAGGCATTGGATCTGAATATAAATAAAATTAGAATGATCTTTGTGTGTATGTATGTGTTTTAATATGTATGTGCAGATGTCTAAGGACAGATTTATGCTTGATTAATTTAGCTTTAAAATAAAATTTTTATTCTATATCTAGGCGACAATTATTACCTTTCACTAAGAAGTATAGATATGTTGCATGTCTCTATGTGTGAGCTCTAAATGCTCTAAGATAATAATGCATTTACAAGTGAAGAAAATCAAACTCCAAAAAGATAAGCGAGTTGGGGCACAGTGGCACACACTGTAATCCCAGCTGCTTACAAGGCTGAGGCAGGAGGGTCACAAGTTTAAGGCCAGCCTGGGCATCATAGCAAGACCCTATCTCAAAATAAAAATGGGATTGCACTGGCTGTGGTGACACATGTCTCTAGTCCCAGCACTCTGGAGGCTGAGGCAGAAGGTTGCTGAAAATTCAAGGCTAGGCCTGGGCTACACAGTGAGTTCAAGGCCAGCCTCAAGTGCAAAGTGAGACCTTGTCTCAAGAAACAAAACAAAACTAGATGGAGGAGGGGTTGGGATATAGCTCTGTAGTAGAACAATCGATAGCATAATGTAGCTCTGGGTTTCATTCTAGTACTGGAAAAAAAATTGAATCTGTGTTTTTCTGAATTGAAAATTCATGATCTTTCACTAGCTATTTTGTCATTATGAGTAAATCTGTTGAAAATTATAATTTTAAATTTTTTGAATTTACAAACTTATTTGTAATTTATTTTCAGAAAAGCAAACTGATGTCAACAAAACATTGATCTAATAGAATGTTGGAAAACTAGAGTCCGTGGGCCAAATCCAGCTACTGCCTATTTCTGTTCAAAAAGAAAAAGTGTGTTTAGCACATGACTATACTGAGTTACTTATTTTTCCTCAACAGTTACTTTGTGTTACAGTAACAGTTGAGAAGCTGTGACCTATGACAATATGACCTCGAGTCTTAAAATATTTACTATTTGGTGTTTATAAGAAAGTTTCCTGGGGCTGGGGAGATGGCTCAGTGGAATAAACACTTCCCTGGCAAGCGCCAGGGCCTGAGTTCAATCCCTGGTTCCGCCAAAAAGAAAGTTTGCTGACACTTGATCTAATATATGAGGAGATCTGAGTTACTGTACTACTTGTTTTATAATTTAGTTTTAAGTTTTGGTTAAATCTTTAATTTCATCTATCACAGTTTTTAACTGTAAAATAAAAATTGGGAAGTATAGTATGTACCAAGCTTTCTGGCTCTGAAATTCTATCATGTAGTTAAGATTGACATTTGCTTTGTTTTTTTAAGAAAATCAGCATAATTAGGTTGAATGAATAATTAAAACTGTTTTGAACTCTATTTTTACATCTACTAAGTAATAAATTAGAGATTTTTTTATAGTAGTACTTCTGCAATGCCAAATAGGTTCATGTTCTGAATTTGATTTAGAAATTTATCTGTACATACCCTTTGTTTTTACACTTTGTAACATTTTTATCTAAAACCAAGAATTTGATTAGAAAACACTTTTAGTGTCCAATGGATAAAATAAATGAAGAAAAATTACCATAAGATTTTAAGTTTGTTATTACGAATTATTTACTAACCTAGTTGATTTACTATCTGATTTTAAGTTTGTTACTACTAAACATTCACTAGCCTAGTTGATTTACTGTCTTTCTCCTAACAAAGTTGTATGTCGTCAGGAAGTAGGATCTTTAAACTGTGTCAAAGATAGTATGCCAACTTGGAAATTCAGTTTTCTAAATAAACATATTTAAGAGGAGTTTCACTTTGCATTTAAGTTACAGAATTTACTCCAACAAGTGCATGTAAGGGCCAGGGAGATAGCTCAGCAGCATAAGCACCTGCCTGGCAAGCGCAAGGTCCTGAGTTCAGTTCCCAATACCAAAACAACAACAACAAATGCATCTAATTATGGCCAGTGACTAATATAATTTATTAGTACTTGTAGATGAAAATGCATCTGAACTTCCAAAATAGGTGAACATGGTGACTGCAAAATGAGATCACTGCACTTACATAGCATTGCCTCAGGCCTTCTTAACTAGACTGGCTGGAGAGAACCAAGATATTTGATAAGGAAATTTATATGACAAGTGATTATTTTAGGAACTTTACTTAATTCTGTTTTTTTTTTTTTTTTTTTGTACTGGGACTTGAACTCAGGACCTTGCCCCTGCCAGGCAGGCCCTGTGCCACTGAGCTATATGCCTGGCCACTTAATTATTTTTTCTTTCTTTTTTTTTCACTAAATTCTTACAATATCCTGTAGACCTTTGTTTTCTTTCCTTTTTGTTTCATGTCAAAAGATGTGCTACTTTATGCTTTTCTTTTTAATTATAGGAATATGCAAGAAAAGCTCTTGATTTTCTCTGGGAAAAAAGACAGCGAAGTAGTAATTTAGTTGGTGTGACTATCAATATTCATACTGGAGATTGGGTACGAAAAGGTATGTAAATTGGGTTTTTAAAATCAAACTTTCACATCCTCAGAATAGTTGAGAAACTTAAGATTATTGATTTGTTAAAATAACCTTTGGGAGAGTGTACTGTTTGATACCTTGATGGCAGTAGCATTATTGGTGTAGGTTACAGATGAAACACTAGGATTAATTTCTTTTGAGACTAGAGGATCAGAGTGTGTACCAGAGATATTACACATGAAGATGTATTTTAGGGGATATATTTTATGATATTATTACCAATTTTTATACCCTTCCTTCCAGAAATAGATTATTTTATTAGTGATTAACAGCATAGATTACAGAGCTATATTGTTGGAATTCAAGCCATGTGTACTTGGGCAAGTTATTTAACTTCTGTTGCCTTTTTAGCCATATCTGTAAAATGGAAATATTAAGAGTATTTCATAAAATTATTATGGAGATTAAATGAGCTAACATAAAACACAGAACACTGGTTGGCATATTTTAGACTTACTATAAAGTGCTCACTGTAATGTTAGTCCCTTTGATTCATAATTTTACTGCCGGGAATCTAGCTTAAGAAATAATAACCATTTTTGTACCCAAAGATGTTCTTCACATAAGTGCAATATTGGAAAGCTGAGAAATAATCCTAGTAACCATCAATAAACTAATAGCTAAGAAAAAATATTTTTCATCAATATTGGAATATTAAATAATTTAATGAGTTGGAAATAATGTCATATGAAAATAGGACATGATACTGTATAAATAATATGTTTTTATGTTTTAAAATGGTCTTATAAAACAAACCAAGAGTGGAAATGTTTAAAATAGTCCTAATAAAATTATCTTTCTTATACATTTCTGTATTTTTCTTTTTTTCCCCATAATTTTATTGAGAAACAAATAGCAATGAGACAGTTTTAAACCAAATTGGTAGGTCAGTTTCAATAACACATTGCATACTCTTCCTAGTGGTTAATTGCTGTACAAGATGCGGACATGATATCCTGTTTACAAACACTATTAGAACAAATCCCTCTATTCATTAAGAGAATGTAACTATATATCTATCCTAACCATTTTGAATACACAGATACAAAATGGACATTCATCTGTATTCCCCTTTTTTGTTAAGTTCCGTTATTTGAATATTATAGGTGTGTTAACTCAGCAAAATATTCTAAAAGAGTCCATTAGTAGTCCATAATAGTATTATATTTTTCAAAAGGCTTATTTATAATTTTTAAAAGTCTATAAGTAAAAATTATGTAACTATGAAAATGAACATCTTAAAGTTATTGTCTCTGTTTAATACTATAGATATTTTTGGTTTTTTAGAGACAGCATCTCACTATATAGTTCAGCCTGGCATTGAGCTCACTATGTAGCTCAAGCCGGCCTTGAACTCAGTGATCCTCCTGCCTCAGCCTCCCGAGTGCTGGGATTGTCGACGTACACCACCATATCCAGCCTTATAAAATTTTTATCTAAGTGGTTCCTGAAAGAGGTCTGGATATTGGCTTCAGAATTCTACATTTTTCTCCATTTTTTTTTTTAAACCCCACTATGGACCTCAGGTGTAAATTAATCACAGTTAATTTTTTTTTAATGTACTTGGTACAGGTTCTCACTGTGTTCGTGGCTCAGACTTGTAGTGATCCTCCTGTTGTCAGTTTCCCCAGAGCTGGGATTACAGGCATACGCCACTGTGCTGGGACTCTGTGGCCAGCTCAGTGCACCCTGGGGATGCATCAGTGGGCCATGTGGTGCTGGGGATCAGACTGAGGTCCCTGCACTTGCCTAATCACAGTTAATTTTTAGCAGTGATAATTTTATAGTTCTTTTCTAGCTTTATATGTTGTGTTCAGTGCACTGGGCTGTTTTGTTGGGTGCTTTTATTTTAAAATCACATGCACCTACCCATGCAAGCATTCTTCTAAAGTTATGACCCCAGATGCAGTGTATTCATTTTAAAATGCTGTTGTAGTTCATCACTTTGCTATTTTGGAGTGAACATCTCCCTTTCTAAGAATACAGCTATACCAGCTTTAACTTACATAGTAATTGCCTTATATATCTTCTTCTATCTTTTACTGTCAGCCTTTGCAGTGTTTGTTTATATTGTAAGTTTGAGGGCTGGGGGTATAGCTCAGTGGCATGAACACCTGCTTGGCAAGTACAAGGTCCTGAGTTTGATCCTTGATACTGCAAAAAAAAAAAAAAAAAAAAAAAAAAAAAAAAAAAAAAAAAGTTGATATATTGTAAGTGTGTCTTTTGTAGAACTTTCATGGCATTACATCTATTTTGTTAGCCTTTGTCTTTGAACTAGTGAGTTCGATCCATTTATATCTTTTTTTTTTTTTTTTGTGGAACTGGGAATTGAACTCAGGTGCTTGCCAGGGAAGCGCTTATTCCACTGAGCCATCTCCCCAGCCCCGTTGATGTTTTGAATATATTTCAACTTTGTTAGATCCCATTTCTGGTTTTTTTTGTATTTTTTTTTTTTATTGATACCTATATTCACCTCCTAAAAACATGTAGTATGCTTTCCTATTTCTTTGTCTCCCACTTTTAGAACCTTCATCTTCTGTGACACTGATACTATGTCAGCATTTAGTTATGTTTTCTCTTTTTCTTTTGGTCTGGGTGTTCTTGCCACCACTATTTAAAGGTTACTTGTAGTTTGTATACTGCTCATATAACATTTTGTAGGTTCATTTCTTATCTGTTGTTTTGTTTTCATAGATTAAACCAATTGCAAATTGAAAATAGAAAAAAATTATACTGAGGGGCCGGCCAAATAGCTCAGTGGATTGGCCGGGGGTTTGATCCCCAGGCCTGCTGTGCCAGCCCCGGCCCCCAGAGCGTGCTGAGATGGCGATTGAGACTGGGCGTGGTGCCGCACACCCGTAATCCCAGCTCTTGGGAGGCTGTAAATAGGTGCATCACTACAAGTCTGATCTGGTAGTTAGACCCTGAATACCCTGTAGACCATTCCCTAAAATAAAAAAAAATTGTACTAAACATTATAAAGTTTTATTTTTACTTAGTTTTTTAGTATTTAATATTTTTATTAACCACCATTTATGTAGTATTTATGTTGTATTGGGTATTCTAAGTAATCTAGAGATGATTTAATAATATATGAGAGGATATACATAAATGATATGAAAACTCTTGCCGTTTTATGCAAGTGGTGTACATGTTTGTGGATCTCACAGTCTTGAAACCAATCTTCCACAGATGCTTAGGGGTAAATGTATTTTATCCAAAACTGTTTTCAGTGGTTTCTAGTAGCTGGCATACTTTAGTATGCTTAACAGTAGTTTGATTTTTTTTTTCATATTTCAATGATAGTTTCGTTGTAAGTAATTTGTGGTTTACTTTCCTTTAATTTTTTTAAAAATTAAAACTTCATTATTTTTTTACATCCTAATAAAATAATCTGATATTCTCAGTTCTATATTCTTGTATGTATTCTTTCTTTCTCTGTATAAGATTATGACTGTCAAAAAGGAATGTCTCGCTGAGCACGGTTGCACATGCCAGTCATCCCTTGCTTAGGATGCTGAAGCAAGAGGGTTGCATGCTCACGGCCAGCCTGGGCAGTTTAGCAAGAACCTGTATCACAATAAAGTAAAATAGGATTGGAGATGCAGCTCGTTACTCCTTTTGTTCAGTCTCTAAATTTAGGTGGAGATTTTCCTCTTGGTACAGGAAACTGTATACTTCCTTGTTGTGTTCTGTGGGCCCTTTCCAATTAATGCCTTCGTTTTTAATTGCTAAAAATTTATCTTTATTGTTTAGACAAGTTTATCTTTTTAATTTTTACTTATCTTTTTGCAGTTCTTGCCTAAATCACTATTATCACATCTATTTTTATTCTCTACATTTTTAAATATATCCTGCTTTTATTTTTTATTTATTTATTTATTTTATCCTACTTTTAAATAAGACCTTTGTAGCCAATTTTGCAAAGTAAATTGAAAAAAGAATAAAACAATTATCAGCAAGTGGACTATTCATATTATAAAGTTAATATTTCTGTCAATTTAGTATAATTTTTACATTAAACAGTTTCATGTGTAGAGTAGCTTTTCATTCTTGCTATACTACTACACTTATTTGCATTCCATTAGGAATTTTAAAAACTTATTTAATGAGTCATTTATTTGTATTTTGTACAGATAGTGGAGTTGGAGCAGGGATTGATTCATATTATGAGTATCTGTTGAAAGCTTATGTCTTGCTTGGAGATGACAGTTTCCTGGAAAGATTTAATACAGTAAGTTTATAACATTTGTGGTTTTTTTTTTTTTTTTTTTTTCAGAACTGGGGATTGAACTCAGGTCTTTGTGCTTGCCAGGGAAGTACTTATTCCACTGAGCCATCTCCCTAGCCCCTTTAATTTTATAGCCAGTTTCATTTAAGTTCAGATTTTGATAGAAACTCAATTACCTGAGTGACAATGTTCAAATAATTGATTTTCTAAAGTGCTGTAGTATTTTTGTCAGTATTCCCTGATGATGTTGGACAGGGAGGAGACTACATACAATTCCCAAAACTAGTTCGTTTAGTTTTCACCTTTCATCAGAAGTTTTTGGATTTGCCAGTAGAGATAAAATATGTAGCTTTGAGGGTTTTTTTAAATGAAAAAAGATAATTATTGAAACAAATTACAGTTAGCAAGTAATCCTGTATGCCTCCATTTCTCATCTACAAAATGAGAGTACTAGTACTATTTATAAGGTCATTGGGAAAATTAAGTGAGCTTAATATATGAAATGACTAGAATGGTGCCTTGGTCTGTGGCAGGTACACAGTAATAATGATTAAGTGACATATGGTAGCAAAACAAACAATGTGTTAAAAATTCTAATATATCAAGTAAATGCTGTCACATATTTATTAGATCATAATAGGACTTTCTTGAGGTGGATTAGGATAGATAACTGTTTTTGTTGGGTTGGAAACACAACTTCTTCTGTGATCAAAGCTAAGAAGTATCTAGAAAATGGAAAAAGAGAAAAAGTTTCTGAGAGCATACCAGAAGAGAACTAATTTCCTGGACCCAGGCAGAAACTAATTCTGTACTGTAGAATTATGTTAGCTGTATTCCAAGGAGACCTAAGAACATGTTTGGGATACAGAGCTATACTGACCATGGGCCAGTATCATGGGACCAGTGATGCTCAGATCTAGTCCCCTCAAAGCATTCTATATTTAATATAGTCTCTAATATTCTACATCTGATTCAAGGATATATGCAAATGCATATGATTTAGAATTATTTTCATCTTAAATAATTTAAATATTTACAGTTAACTGAAAAATAGTGAATTTATCTGTAAATGTATTAAATTCAAGTGCAGTTTCTTCACTGTGCTGTTCAGTGTGTTTAAAGTAGTACATCTTCATCTGCTTTCGTGAACACATTGTTGTGATCTTTTAGCACTATGATGCCATAATGCGGTACATTAGCCAGCCACCTCTGCTACTTGATGTGCATATCCACAAACCAATGCTGAATGCTCGGACCTGGATGGATGCTTTGCTTGCCTTTTTTCCAGGTTTGCAGGTATAAAGAGCTCTTAATTTTCTGAATAGTAAAATAATTTAATAATTAATTACACTTATAATCGCTAAAATTGACAAAATATAGTCACATTCTGAAGTTGTAATATGCAAATTTCTATATTAATATTATAGATAACATTAACTCATACTTTATTAGATCATTATATTTTTGTTGTTGTCTTCAGGTTTTAAAAGGGGATATTAGACCCGCTATTGAAACTCATGAAATGTTATATCAGGTGATTAAAAAACACAATTTTCTACCAGAGGTAAGCAGTCTTATAAATTTTCATCTACATTTATAGTATAAATTGCTTTTTTTTTTTTTTTTTTTTTTTTTGTGGTACCAGGGATTGAACTCAGTACCTTGTGCTTGCCAGGCAGGGGCTTATTCTACTGAGCTATCTCCCCAGCCCTAAATTGCTAATTTAAAGAGAGAAAATGTTATGTTTATTCTTTATTTTGTGTGGTTATTTAGTTATTTTTGGTTTATACAGAATTGCTTTTTTACTTAAGGTATTAGAAAATGTATTATTTAGGATAATGCAGATTAATTTTATTTTAAAATAACCCTCCAACTTAGTGTTTCTCAAGCCTCTCTAGCCATTGCACCTCCCCCCACCCCCCTACTTTTTTTCTGTGATACTGGAGACTGAACTGAAGGCCTCACCATGCTAGGCAGGCTCTTTACTGCAGAGTTACAACCCCAGCCCTAATCATTTTCCTTTTTAAAGTACTTACCCCTCTCTGTTTACCCATTTGTTAGGGAGCTTATGTTACCCTTTATTTTCTGAAGTCTGAAAACTAAATGCATTAAATATAGTTCAGATGGTCACACATGCTTCCTGGAAATTTGGAGAATCTTGACTAAGAATTGCACTTCCTTTTTTTAAAATTATGTTAGTAATAAATATTTAATGAATATTTTTCTTTTGACAGGATTTTAGTAACATACTTTTTTGGCTTTCCAGAAGTGTGCCATTACAAATTTCCAAATGTGTATATGGCCTTATTCTAGTCTTTATTATTGACTACCCTATGTGAGCTTCTTAAGTATTCCACCAATGTAGAATGCTTCCTTAGGTGTTTATTTTGGAAAGTATAGTTTTATTAGTCTTCATGTAAGCAGGACATTGCATTGGGAAAGTTCATATCCATGTAGGATAAAATGAGGTTTCAACTAAACACATCTATCACAAATAAAGTTTTCATCTGCCATAAAAAGATGGTGGTCGCTTTTTTTTTTTTTTTAAACTGGTTGACTCTGTTCTTCAGTAAATTTCAAATAGACTAATGTATTTTTAAGTAATTATCTTCTCTTGTTCCACAAAAGACTTTAGTTGTTAAAAAACACATGATAACATGATATATGTGTAACTTAAAAATAGCTAAAAGAGTTGATTGTATAATTAAGAGGAAAGGTAAAGAGAAGGAAAGCAATCTAGTTATATAGACTGACAGGATCCATGGATTGACATAGCTGAGTTTCATTACTTCATTACTGACTTTTCTTGACTTTTTTTCCTCAATAGCCCAAATGTTTATTTAAAATCAGTGCATTAAAGTTGATAAAAATAATAGCCTTGCAAGAAGGGCTTGTGATTTTAGCAATAAAAATTAATGTTTTGTAGACGGAAATACATTATGTTTGGTATTTTGATTTCATTGTATCACTTAATATATATTACTATACTAGAACTACTTGTTTATATTTTAATCACATTAATGTCTTATTTGTATGACTTTTTTCCAGGCATTTACTACAGATTTCAGGGTACATTGGGCTCAGCATCCTTTAAGACCAGAATTTGCTGAAAGTACCTACTTCTTATATAAAGTAAGATAATTTGCTTGTCTTTGCCTTTAGCCTCCACTATTTGTTGAATGTCTTACTCCTTTATAACAGACACTGGTATATAATGTTGTCATAGTTAAATATATTAACATTTATATTCATCTGGTCTATAGAGTTATTCAGAGATACAAGACTTGACATGTGTATTTTATGCCTGTCAGAAATATTCATGTAGGGCCGGCCAGATAGCTCAGCAGACTAAAGTGCCTGCTTAGGTAAGCATAGGGGACCAGAGTTCAACCCCATGCCATGCCTGCCCTGCCCCCAGGGCATGCTGAGACAGCAACTGAGACAGCATGGTGGCACACACCTGTAATCCCAGCGCTTGGGAGGCTGAAAACAGGATCACTGGGAGTCTGATCTATCCAGTGAGACCCTGTAGACCCTGTACTAAATACATTAAAAAAATTATGTTAACATACTCTAAAAATAAATTTTCATCCTAGAGCTGCTTTCTAAAGCATGTCTCTTGCCTTTCTTTAATCAAGAAACTATTTTAGGCATTAAAAATCTAAATGTTGAAGTTTATAGTCAAAGAATTTTTAAATTATTTAAGAAATTCTGTAAAGCAGATCAAGGGCTTCTTTTCAGATCCAGGTAGTTTCTTTTTTTTTTTGGCAGAACCGGGGATTGAACTCAGGCCCTTGCGCTTGCCCAGGAAGCGCTTATTCCACTGAGCCATCTCCCTGGCCCATAGGTAGTTTCTATACAACATGCATTAAAGTGCCTGGCTCAATAAATATTTACTCAATATTTAATGCATGAATGGCTATGGTTATATATAATATGTATGTGTATAATATATTACCCTTTTTAATAGGCTACAGGAGATCCTTACTACCTTGAAGTAGGGAAAACGCTTATCGAAAATTTAAATAAGTATGCTAGAGTGCCTTGTGGATTTGCTGCCATGAAGGATGTTCGTACTGGAAGTCACGAGGACAGGTAAAACAATTGCTGGCACCCCCTTTCCTCAGTTTACTCTGAAACAGCACAAAATACAGCTACTTGTGAAGATTCAAAAAAAGTTTTTTTCTTTGGGAGGCTGTAAACAGGCGGATCACTACGAGTCTAATCTAGTAGTGAGACCCTGAACATCCTGCAGACCCTTCCGTAAAATACAAAAAATTAAAAACAAAAAAGTTTTTTTTACAAAAGCTATTTGAGGATACAGATGTTAGTGTTTATTTTTCTTCAGTTCTTTTGAATAAATTCATTTTAAATTGATAGAAAAGTTTGTATTGTAATGCCTAGAATATAGTAGGTGCTGAAATGATTTTTAAATGATTGAATGGTTGTTAAATATCAGAAACTTGGCATAACAGTATTAGAAATACTGTTCCTCCACCTCATTAAAATATTAGGAATATTCAAGATGATAGTGAAAGGTCCTGATTATAATTCATATTCAGTCAAGAACTCCTCAGAATCACTACCATAATACATGTACACTTTCTCTCCTCCTGTACGGAGAGGTGGGTAATCCCACTAGTAGATTTCGTACTGCAGAGGTGGGAGCAGCACGAGGTACTCAAGCTATGAAAAGCACACTTTGGTCAACGTGATAGTCACTGCAGTTACTCCCAGGTCTCTGATTATCATGTATTGAAATGAATGTTGAAGCCTTGTTTGTTCATTTGGTTAGCAAAGTTCCATACCATGTTTACTGGGCCTCTTTTTGTGCTCGCATACTAGTTTTTTGTACTTTTTTTTGGTACCAGGAATCTAACACGGGATCTTGTGCTTGCACTGCTGAGCTATATTCCCGACAAGCATACTAGTTTTTGAGGGTTATAGATAGGGGCACATGTCCTTTATGGAAGTGAGTCACTGAGGATGGGCAAATAAGTAGAATTTTTTTTTTTTAAATTTATGTATTTGGTACAGGGTCTCCCTATGCAGCTCTGACTCATAGAGATCCTTCTGTCTCAGCCTCCCGAGTGCTGCGTTTACAGGTGTGTCGGGGGCTGGCACTGCAGACAGTGTAGGGGATCAAACCCGGGTCTTTGCGCTTGCTAGGCAGGTAATTAGACCACTGAGCTGTCTCCCAGGCCCCATAAGTAGACTTTTAAAATGTTACATAAGTACTACATGAAATGCAAGTTGATATGTGATGATCAATGAATGATTCCTAACAAGTTCTGAGTCCTGGTGGATGAGCAAAAGTAAGAGGATAAAAGAAATAAAAGAAGTTTCAGGTTGAGGAACTAAAGACATGAGAAACATGAGGCTGTCCCTTAGGACTTCTCAGAGTATTTGGGTAGTTGTTCATTAGGTTAGGAAATCCTTTCCCTGGACGTAGCTGATGAGAAATCGGTGGTTTCTGGAAACAGGTATACAGATAACAGTAAGAAGTGAAAACCTGTGTATTGCCTCTAACATTTATTGATCATTTCATACACCTGGAGTACTTCTCTAAGTATTTTGTCTGTTTAACTGATTTGGTCTTTTACAATATCCCTCTGAAATGTAATTCTATTATAATAAAGATAAGGAAAAATTAGGGAACTTGCTGAAGATCACACTATAAGGCTAAGGTCAAAATTTTAATTAAACACATCAGCTTTTGACAACTATGTTATGTTGGTAGTTTATTCAAAGAACCAAGTACCTCTCACATGCCAGGCACTGCACTTATGGATGAGAATGAAAATTAGAACCAGTTCTTACCATCCCCTGGGCTGTAAAGTAGGTGTGTAAAGAAAAAATTACAAACATGATGTGTGCTTTAATAGAAAAGGGATAACAACTTGAAGAATTATGAAGATACTGTTAACTCTGTTTAGAGAGTTCTAGGTTTTAGAATTCCTGCTTTTCCTTCACCAAATATTCCTTTAGTGATACAGTTTTGGGGACTTTTTACTGCTGCTTTGTCCTATTCAGATGTACCCCAGTATGCAGAACGTTTCGGTTTTTTTTTTTTTTTAATTAATTAGTTTATTTATGTATTTGGTACAGAGTCTTGCTATGCAGTTCTGACTCGTAGTGATCCTGCTGTCTCAGCCTTCCCAGCACTGGGATTGCAGGTGTGTGCTACCATGCCTGGTTTTGGTGGCTAGCATGGCATGACCAAGGTTCCATGGGCGGCACCACATGTGGTACTGGGGATCAAACCCCGGTCCTTGAGCTTGCCAGGCAGTCGTTTAGATCACCAAACTGTCTCCCCAGCCCTGCAGAACATTTCTTAAACTATCATGTCCATGGACTGGGGATGTAGCTTACTGGCACAAGGGCTTTCCCAGCATATATGAGTCTCTAATTTTGATCCTAACAACACAAAAAAGAAAAAAAGAAAAAGAATAATCTAATAAGAGCACTGTAACCATTCTGAATTCAGGTAAGAGACTGCTAATTTTTTGAGAGGCTAATAGGTTTGTGCCTCTTCGGTTGAGGATCATTGCTTCATCAGCTCACTGTTCGTCATGGTGGTATTTTACGTTTCATATGTATTTGGCCCAACAAATATTTTGAGAACTACCAACCTTCATTATACTGTGTTATTAGATGTGCTTTAGGCGTATTATCTTTATTAATAAGTTCAGTTCACAGTGACCTTGTGATTGATCCCAAGCAGTTGCAGAGAGTTATCTATAGCCTGGTGACACTTTTTCCACTATAGTTTGAGCAGCCATCTGTTGTTATTGAGCAGCTGGTTTTTTAATGCAAACTTAGAACTTTATATTTAGCCCAGCAAAGTTTTATTTTTTTTTTTAATTTTTGTTTCCAGACCAGTGTGACTTTAGAATCTAATCTCCTAGCTAAACTCCAGTTTCCAGTGATCTATAGTTTGGGTAAAAGTACTGTAAGATTTTTCATGCATACAAATTATTGGAATGAAATAGTAGGACCGGGACCAGGACCTCTGCACCTGGCATTTCAAAGTGCTTGTTTACAGGCTATTCGCATTTGCTTGCTTGCTCTTGTGCAGATCTCTTGGTACCATCTTCTGGCTCACTAGCACCCTGCCCTCTACAATTTTTATAAGACAATTATCTGTATTTTCCTAATAATAGACGATTATTGAAAAGGATTTAAATGTTGAACTGGGGAGATAGCTCGGCAGTCTAAGTGACTTCCTGGCAAGCGTAAGGACCAGGGTTTGATAGATGGTACCACATGCTTCTCTGCTGCACTCTGACCCAGCGCCCAAAACCAGGCGTGGTGCTGCATACCTGTAATCCCAGGGCTGGGGAGGCTGAGACAGGAGGATCACTATGAGTCCGAGCTGCCAAGTGAGACCCTGTACCAAGTAAATAATAAATAAATAAATAAATAAATGATTTTAAAAGAACATTTTAAAAAATTCAGATGTCAAAAAAAATCTTTTGGGACTGGGGAGATGGCTTAGTGCAATAAGCACTTCCCTGGCAAGCGTAAGGGCCTGAGTTAATGCCTGGTTCTGAAAGAAAAAAAAAAAAAAATCTTTTAGGATAATCTCTCATATCAGCCTAAGATAATTGTCATTAGTAATTTGATAATTTTTTCAAAGACTTCTAATATCTGTGTGTTTATATTTATGTACGTGTTTATGTTTTTTATTGAAATTGAAATTTTTTTAGTACATGTCTGCAGAGAATCATTTCAGAATTACCATGGGGAGTTGGGACATGGACACAGCACAGTCTTAATCCTTTTCACTTCTTTTGCTCCTCCCTTCCTCTCCCTTCCTTGTGTCTTTGGGTGTCCTTCCCATTTAGAAAATATGTTTATGGTTTTCAAAATACAAATTATATCATATAATCCTCTACTTGGTGACCTTTCCTAATTCACATTTTAGTGATCTTACTATGTCTTTTTCCTAATGTTTACCTATCAAGTTTTCTAATCAGTTTCTCAAATATCAATATTCTGCTTATTAGTCTGCAGTTCTCAAAATAATGTTTTCTCATGATACTAAGTACAAAAGAGATTAAATTATGATAAATGAGTTTCAGGTTGACATGAAAGGTTTTTATTGTCTACTTATTAATAATCTGAAATAGATAAAAGTTTTAAAACTTTTACAGTTTTCATCCCAGAAACTTTAAAACAATCATTTGTATGTAAGACAAAGAAAAGCTATAGTTTTAATTTCATGCATACCCCACTGCTATCCTAAATAACTGACACATAGAATCTCAGTCTTTGCACTGGCGTTATGAGTATACAATTTATGTTCTATTTACAGAGAATGAACCAAAGCTCAATAATCTTATAGATTATATAACCCTAGAGATTCTGTAATCTGTCAGTGGTCACAGAACTAATTGTAGAAGATATATGTTTTCCAAAATCCGTGTTCTTTACCATTGTAGTCAGTTGCCTCCATCTCATTCCTTAGTCATCAACTTAGTATTTGTTGAGTACCTGCTTTGCACCAGGAATTGTGCTTGGCCAGCGGTGTGATATTATGCAGACTTCCCAGTAAATTACAAATTTGTACTGCCAAAATCTTGGATATTGTTATAGCTTGTGTCTAGATGTACCCTCAAAGCCTCATGTGGTCATAGGTGGGGTTTTTCAGACGTGGCTGGAACTAGAGTGTGTATACTGGGTTCAATTAGTCCAGTCCATTGATGGATCAGGCACAGTTCTGGGTAGGATTAAAGGTGTTCCACCCTGGGTGTAAGTGTTACCTGCCCTGCAATCAGATAGGTTAGATGGAATATAAGGGACAGAAAGAGAGTTATTGTTTGTCACTAGCTGCTTGCTGCTTCTGCCTGTTGCCTGCTCTGTGGTGCCTCTCTGCCATGCTACCCGGCCTTGGAGCCAACAAACTATGGACAGAAAGGACTATAGATATGCACAACCACACCCAGTCTCAATCACCATTTCGGTGCGCCCCAGGGGCTGGGCTGGCATGGAACGCTGGGATCAAACCCTGGCCACTGTGCTCTGCTGAAGCAGATGCTTTAGTCTGCTGAGCTATCAGGCCAATCCTTTTTCATATAATTTTTTAAAAGTCATATCCCCTACCTTTAAATGGCTACATAATAATTATCATCAAAGTTGTATGACTTAAAGCCAGGCGTGGTTGTACATATCTGTAATCCTAACACTTGGGAGGCTGAGGCAGGAGGATTGCCATGAGTTCGAGGTCAGCCTGGGCTACAGAGTGAGTCCCTGTCTCAAAAAAAAAGTTGTATGACTTAATCTAATTTTGTTAATATTCGTTGAAAAATCTGCTATGGATTTCACTTATAAAATTCATCTGAGTTACTTCTGTTACTTCTCTCAAGCAGAAATACAGAACTCTGCCTCTGTGGAAGGCTTAAACAGAAATCTTACCTGCATTGTTGGCAAGCTTGACAGTACATGTGGTGTTAGCAGCTTCTCTGATCTTTTTCCTTGCAGTGTGGTTGGAATTAAAGTAATTCTGACACTGGGTGACGGATGCATTCTTTAATTCTTTGGACGTCTGAATTATTGTAGATAAAGTTATTGAGCTTGACTCTGGCTTTCAGATACTGAACAGTTAAGTATTTCTTATGTTCTTGTATTTATTTGTGACTTTGTTTTAGAATGGATTCTTTCTTCTTGGCTGAAATGTTTAAATATCTTTACCTATTATTTGCTGATAAAGAAGACATTATTTTTGACATTGAAGATTACATCTTTACAACAGAAGCTCATCTATTACCTCTTTGGCTCTCTACTACAAATCAAAGAATCTCTAAAAAGAATACAGTGAGTTTTTAAATTAAATGTCTTACTTCCCTTTTTCTTCACTTTTATTTTTCTAGCTAAAAAATCTGTGACTAGACTTCAATAAATATATGTATGGTAGGAAAAAGTACATGATTCTTTATTTTCTTATAGCCATCAAGCATTCTTGTTAAGAAACCATAATGTTAAATAAAAGTTATTTTTGTAATTATAAAATTCTTTTATATTGCAGACCTCAGAATATACAGAACTTGACGACAGTAACTTTGACTGGACGTGTCCAAATACTCAGATTCTCTTCCCCAACGATCCATTGTATGCCCAGAGCATTCGTGAACCCTTGAAAAATGTGGTGGATAAGAGCTGTCCTAGAGGCATCATCAGAGTGTAAGATGTACTGTTTTGTATGTTAATATCAAAGTTAATTCTTAATTTAAGAATAAATTCTGCACCTGCAGAATTTAAGGAGCATATAACAGCAGTCTTAAAAAGTATTCAGTTAGGGCCGGGGATGTCACTCAGCATGTTGCTTAGCAGCACAGTGTCTGCCGGGCAAGCACAAGGCTGTGCATTTGCTGCCTGGTCCCCCCTCAAAAAAAAGTAAAGAAAAAAATAGTGTTGTTAGATGGGAAATTAAAAAGATGCTTCTACCAAAAATGTTGAGGTATGTAGTTATCACTGTTTAAAAGTTATTAGTAAAGTTGGGAATAAAGCTTATTTTATAGTAATTTTTTAGAGTAATGTTTATAATGCAGATTTTCTTTTATCTAGTAGTAGTCAGTGGATAAATATGACATTTTTAATTTCTATAGATTTTTTTTTCCAGTACTGGGGATTGAGCCCAGGGTTTTCACAGTGAACTATATTCCTAGCTCTTTTTATTTTTATTTGAAGATAGGGTCTTCTTGAGTCACTAAGTTGTCTAGGCTGGGCTCAAACTTGTGACTTTCCTGCCTCAGTCTCCCAGAGTTGTAGGATTGCAGACATACCTACCACATCTAGCTCTGTGGTTCTTTTTTTTTTTTTTTTTTTTTTTTTGCAGAAATAAGGATTGAACTCAGGCCCTTGCACTTGCCAGGGAAGCGCTCCACTGTGCCATCTCCCTGGCCCCTGTGGTTCATTTTTATACAACATAGTTTCATTATATATTTACACATGTCTTAGATATATAAGAAAATATTTTTCTTTATGACTATACTTCCTGTAAATTCTTTGTTTTTGCTGTATTTTAAATTTTGGATGTACCCACTTACTAAATAAACATTGTTAAAGAAAAATATTTTTCAGCCAATCAAACAGCTCACAGGATTAAAGCACCTGCAAGCAGATGCAGGGGCCTTGGGTTCAATCTCTGGGTCTGCTGTGCTGGCTCTGCCCCTGGGGTGTGCTGAGATGGCA